GCCAAAAAAAAAAAGAAAAGCCGCGATTGCGATCTGCGGCGGCAATTCGGCGGGAGGTCCTTTGCTCCGAGCGGGAGTAAGGGACCGTCCGCCGAATTGCCGCCGAATACCTGGACGTGCCACCCCTCTCCGGAGCGGCCGCCCCAAGCACCTGCTTGACAAGCTGGTGCCTGGAGCCGGCCCTGGCTGTCGCTGCCTGGGGGTGGTGCTGCTGTTGCCCAGGGCTGGGTGGGGAGCTGGGCTCTGGGTTGTGAGCTCGGGCGTGACCGGCTCACAGGGGCTGAGCTCAGGGCTGTGGGAAGATGAGGTCGGGGGGTGTCCAGCTCAGAAGGGCTGGGCTCGGAGCTGGGGGTCAGGACTGTGGGGGAGATGGGGTCGGGGGGGTTCCGGCTCAGAGGGGCTGGGCTCGGAGCTGGGGGTCAGGGCTGTGGGGGGGATGGGGTCGGGGGGGTTCTGGCTCAGAGGGGCTGGGCTCGGAGCTGGGGGTCAGGGCTGTGAGGGGGATGGGGTCGGGGGGGTGCCCGGCCCCAGCCCCTTACCATGCCGCTTACCCCCTCTCCCAGGAGCCTCTGACATACTCGTGGGGCAGGGGGAGCCTCCGACATACTGCGGAGCCTGGGGCCTGGGGCAAATTGCCCCACTTGCCCCCCCCGGGCAGCCCTGAACTCGGATACCAGGCATGACAGAGGCTGGAGCAGGGAGAGGGGGCACTGGGGCAGCTCAGCTCTGTAGGCTGCTGTCCTCTCCAGCCACCCACGCACAAGGGGAGCAGGAGCAGGGACCAGCCAAGGACCAAGGGGGCAGGAGCACAGGTGCCTGAGGCTGAGCTGTGTGGGAAAGCACTTACCTTGCCCAACGCAGGGGCGTCGGGGTCCTCTGTCTTCCTCCACTCCACCAGACTGCCGCCTGAGGCTCTTTTCTTCTCCATGCCCCCCCCCCCACTGGGGCTGACCTGGAGTCTGAGCCAGGAGGCAGCCGCCCCTTTCCTCCAGAAGCCCTGCTGAGTCGCGCCCGTCACTGTCGCCGGACTCGTGCCACGTGCAGTATGCAGAGCTGCGGAGCTCTGCCCAGCCGCCAGCGCCCCCGCCGGCAATGAGAACAATGTCATGAGGGAGAGGGAGTCTGAGCCGCTGGCAGTTAGCCCAGGGCTTCCCAGGGGTGCTGGCGGCACGCGGAAGCCAGGGGAACCCCTGGGCTGCCTGCCGGTGGCTCAGTCTCCCTCTCCCTCCCAGCGCAGCGGCCGCAGGAACACTTTAAAAAAAATTGGGGGCGCCGCTTTTTGACGCCCCCAAATCTTGGCGCCCTAGGCAACTGCCTAGGCCACCTAAATGGTAGCACCGGCCCTGGTGGTAGATGAAGGTTACCTGAGCACACAACACCGGCATCTTCTCCATGGTTACAGTTACTGGCTCCCCAAAGCCGAGCTCTGCATTCAGTGAGGGCAGCTTCTGTCCCCATGCAGTGAACGTCATCCAGCCAGATACGGTCTGATCCTCCCCCAAATCGAGCTCTCCCAGGGGCTGATAACGCCGTCCCACAGCCCAGCTGCCTGCACACCACTCCAGCATCAGTTATGTCCCAGCCGTCATCACACACGGTTCCCCACTGCTGGTTGTGAAGCACCTCGACTCTCCCAGCACAGTGACTTGGGCCATTCACCAGTCGGAGCTGAGCCACTTCTGAGATGCCAGAGTCTGCAAACACCCCAAAGGAATAAACACTCAGGGAGGTTCCTGTGCATCCGATCACTAATGTCACTGGTGAATGTGGAGCTTCCCACTGACGGGTCTGAACAGCCTCTGCAACAGCCTGTTAGGGGTTCACTCCCTGTCAATTTATCGCAGTTAACTCATGTGATGAACTCAAAAAATTAACCGTGATAAAAAAAAAATTAATCACTATTAATCGCAGTTTTAATCACACTGTTAAACAATAGAATACCAATTGAAATAGAAAAAACATCCAAAATATTTAATATACGTTTTCAAATATATTGATTTCAATTACAACTCACAATACAATGTGTACAGTGCTCACATTATATTATTACAGATAAGGTTGTTTTATCCAGCATGTTGGGGGAATGTGGGGTGGCGGTAAATGAAAAATGCTGGTTAACTAAGAGGGAGGGAGTTTGGGTGCATGAGGAAGTGCAGGGCTGGGGGTTGGGGTGTGGGAGAGGGTATGCATCACGGGCTCTGGAAGGAAGTTTGGGTGCGGAAGAGGGCTCAGGGCAGGCAGTTGGGGCACGGGATGGAGTGCGGGGTGCCGGATCCGGGGGCCACTCATCTCGGGCGGCTCCCCGGAAGCGGCAACTTGTCCCAGCTGCTCCCAGGCAGAGGTGCAGGAGGGGGCTTGGCGCACTCCCTCCGCCTGCAGGCACTGGCCCCGCAGCTCACATTGGTCATGGTTTCCAGCCAATGGGAGCTGTGCAGCTGTCACTGAGCAGGGGCAGCACGCAGAGCCGCCTGAAGTGGCACCGCTTAGGAGTAGCCAGAGCCCAGAACAGGTTGCCACTTGTGGGGAGCCATCTGAGGTGAGAGGCCCCCGGAACCAACACCCTGCACCCCCTCCCATGTACTAAGCCCCCTTCCACACTCAAAGTCCCTCCCAGAGCCCTTCCTCTGTACCCCCTCCTGCTCCCCAACCCCCGCCGGTCCCGGGCCAACTGGACTATAAACCGGGATTTCAATGAAGATCAGAAATGCCGATTTATAGAGCTTTCCAGTTGGTGAAGTGTCGGATAAAATAGCTTTTACTGTATTTTGGATTACAAATATTACCACTGTAAAATGGTAAAAGAAGTAGTATTTTTCAGTTCACCTCATACAAGTCCTGTAGTGCCAGCTCTTTATTGTGAAAGTGAAACTTACAAATGTAGATTATATTATTTTTTGTTACATAACTGCACACTTACTTCTTGTTCAGCCAATCGCTCAGACAAACAAGTTTGTTTACATTTACGGGAGATAATGCTGCCTGCTTCTTATTTGCAATGTCACCCGAAAGTCAGAAGAGGCATTCGCATGGCACTTTTGCAGGTGGCATTGCAAGGTATTTACATGCCAGATATGCTAAATATTCACATGCCTCTTCACGCTTCGGCCACCACTCCAGACGACATGCTTCCATGCTGATGAAGCATGCTGGTGAAGCACTGGACTGGGTTCCCTAGGGAGGTGGTGGAATCTCTATCCATAGAGGTTTTTAAGGCCCGGCTTGACAAAGCCTTGGCTGGGATGATTTAGTTGGTGTTGGTCCTGATTTGAGCAGGGGCGTGGACTAAATGACTTCCTGAGGTCTCTTCCAAACCTAATATTCTATGATTCTATAATGCTCATTAAAGAGGTAATGTGTTAATTTAATGTGTAACTGAAATCCTTGTGGGGAACATTGTGTATCTCCTGCTATGTATTTTACCTGCCTTCTGCCATATCTTTCATGTTACAGTAGTCTAGGATGATGACCCAGCACATGTTCGTTTTAGGAACACTTTCACTGCAGATTTGACAAAATACAAAGAAGGTACCAATGAGAGATTTCTAAAGCTAGCTACAGCACTCAACCCAAGGTTTAAGAATCTGAAGCGCCTTCCAAAATCTGAGAGGGAGGAGGTATGGAGCATGCTTTCAGAAGTCTTAAAAGAGCAACACTCCCGTGCGGAAACTACAGAACCTGAACCACCAAAAAAGAAAATAAACCTTCTCCTGGCGGCATCTGACTCAGATGATGAAAATGAACATTTGTCAATCTGCACTGCTTTGGATTATTATCAAGCAGAACCCATCATCAGCATGGACGCATGTCCTCTGGAATGGTGCTTGAAGCATGAAGGGACATATGAATTTTTAGTGGATCTGGCACGTAAATATTTTGCAATGCCGGCTACAATAGTGCCATGTGAATGCCTGTTCTCACTTTCAGGTAACATTGTAAACAAGAAGCAAGCAGCATTATCTCCTACAAATGTAAACAAACTTGTCTCTATGAGCGTTTAGCTGAACAAGATATAGGACTGAGTGGACTTGTAGGATCTAAAATTTTACATTGTTTTATTTTTGATTGCAGTTATTATTTGTAAATCAGTCTACATTTGTATGTTCATAAAGGGATCCCTGAGTGGCTGCAGATTCATTGAACCCCAAATCCCACAAATGGGATTTACGGTTATCCAGCACCCCATTGTGCTGTAGCGGGGCAGGGGGATCAAAGTGATTAGCAACGGGGAGGGTCTCTCATTGAGGCACAAGTACTGCTCCCTGCACCGGAGGCCCTAAGTGCTGTGCTGGGGGCACTGGGACCAGCACTGAGCCCCCATCCTGCTCTCTGCAGCAGAGGCATGAAGAACTGTGTAGGGAAAATGGGGTCAGCACTGATACCATGGGAAGAGTGACACTTACTGTGACCCCGAACTGGCTCCCTGCAGTACAGGCCCTTAGCCCCATGCTGGGGCACTGGGGTCAGCGCTGACTCAGACAGAAGAGCTGGGTCTCAGCTAAAAGCTTTCCAACCTGATCCCTGCAGCACTGACAGTGATGTGATGGATGAAGGTTACCTGAGCACTCGACACCAGCATCTTCTCCGTGGGTACAGTTATTGTCTCCCCAATGCCGAGCCCTGCATTGGGAGAGGGCAGCTTCTGTCCCTGCGCAGTTGACATTATCCAGCCAAATATGGAAAGATCCTCGGCCAAATCGAGCCCCTCGTGGGGCTGATAACGCCGTCCCACAGCTCAGCTGCCTGCACACAACTCCAGCATCAGTTATGTCCCAGCCGTCATCACAGACAGTTCCCCACCGCTGGTTGTGAAACACCTCGACTCTCCCAGCGCAGCGACTCGAACCATTCACCAGTCGGAGCTGAGCCACTTCTGAGATTCTGGAGTCTGCAAACACCCAAAGGAATAAACACTCAGGGAGGTTCCTGTGCATCTGATCTCTCCTGTCACTGGGGAATGTAGCACCTCCTGCTGACAGGTCTGACCAGTCTCTGAACACAGCAACTGCCTGTCAACGGCTCACGACCACTGACCAGGCTAATCACCTGGGCAATGTTGAAGTTTGTTCACTCCCCTCCCAGCAAGCTGTCACCTAGTTAGGCAGACTGTACTGCAGTCTGAACTACTGCTCCCACTAGAACACTTAGTGAAAAAGATCACCCCTGCACTACCTTCATGCACAAGCTGGCAGGAACCTCCTGGGGAGCAGATTTACACCCTCACTCCTGGCACTGATTGTGATGTTATTGACATGAACTGTGACCATAGAGATCATTGTTGCAACCAGGGTCCTATGGTTACAACAGGTTTTGTACAGAGGAGGCCAAGTGGGGCAGACGCTGGCATAAGCATCTTGGTGATTGGGAGCTGAACACAGTCACCCGTGTCATTAGTGGTTGCCTTAGCCTGACATCAGCATCTAATTTACATGTGTTGGCTCCATAGCTCCCTGAAAACGTCACCCAGAGTCCATCCCCCTTAGAACTGGCTGAAGCGCAGGGACGGCTGGCAGGAACCTGCTGCGCACCAGGCTGACAATGGTTCTGACCAGGGCAGAGGCAGTGCACACTTCCTACAGGCAGATCGGCCCCTCCTGATCAAACACCTGCCCCTGCAGTTCCTGCTGACTTGCCACGACTGACTTGGCAACATTGTTTTGTGGCAGCCATTGCTGCGCTTGTGTCTAGTGCTGCCAGCACAGTACCAGTCTCAGATGAATGATGGCAGAGCTGGGCTGATAGCTGTGTCCTCACAGAGGGGCATCAGCTCTGGGATAGACGGCTTGATATTCTGATGAATCTCAGAAGCCCTAACTTGTATCTGCCTATTTCTAACCTGGGATGCAGATCTTGGACTAGGCTTAATGGGCCCCTGACTGGACTGGCCAGAGGCACTGCTGAAATGCAGAAAAGTGGCTTAGCCTGATCTTCTCAGTGTGCCTGTGGGGCAGCAATACAGACAGTCACACGTGGTGGAGCAGAGTCCCATTAGAAGACTGGACCTTGAGGATGCACAGTCAGATGGCTGAACAAGCTAGAGGTAAGCAAGGTCAGAATGAGCTCTCCCCTGACAGCTAGTGATGAGCTGGGGAGGGGGAAAGGCTTCAGGATCAGACTGCATTTACATGAACACACCCACTGTGCCCAGGTATCCAGCAGACAGAGCTGTGTTGGCTGGTGCTGGGTTACAAATCACTGTAGTACTTCAGTGCAGGGGTAGTGAAATGTTGTTGTCCTGATTGTCTGAGTAAAGGGCAGCAGAACTGTGCTTAGCCTGTCCTGACCGAGAGGGTCACCCACAACTGAACTGAACTCATTAACCAGGGGGCTCAGACACCAGACACCTATCAAGAGTGAGAGGGGTGGAGATGGGCGTTCCTGATGAGGGGTGTGGGCTCTGTGTAAGGGGTCTAGGCATAGTTTAATCTGCCCCCACCACTCTTCAAAGATAGAGTTAATTAAGGCTCCATTAGGAGTCTTTTTGGTTGAAGTGATCACTAGAGCTGAAATCACCTGCTGTGAGACAGTGTTTCTGCCCAGCCTGCTTCAGCACTGAGGTTTCCCCACTAAGCCCTGGTCTACACTACAGGGTTAGGTCGAATTTAGCAGCATTAGGTCTATTTTATAATGAATGTGTCTACACAAGCAACCCCATTCCGTCGACCTAAAGGCCTTTTAAAATCAACTTCTGTACTCCTCTTCAGCGATGGGAGTACTGCTAAAATCGACCTTGCTTGGTTGAATTTGGGGTAGTGAGGATGCAAATCAACGTTATTGGCCCCCGGAAGCTATCCCACAATGCTCCAATGTGACCACTCTGGACAGTACTTTCAACTCCGATGCACTAGCCATGTACACAGAAAAAGTCCCGGGAACTTTTAAATTTCATTTCCTGTTTGGTCAGCGTGGTGAGCTCAGCAGCACAGGTGACCATGCAGTCCCCCCAGAATCGCAAATGAGCTCCATCTTGGAGCGAACGAGAGACACTGGTTCTGATTCCTGTATGGGGAGAAGAATCTGTGCAGGCAGAACTCTGATCAAAAAGAAGAAATGCTAATATATATGCCAAAATCACACAGGGCATGATGGACAGAGGCTACAACAGGGACACACAGCAGTGCCGCGTGAAAGTTAAGGCGCTCAGGCAAGCCTACCAAAAGACAAAGGAGGCAAATGGTCACTCTGGGTCACAGCCCCATACATGCCGCTTCTATGATCAGCTGCATGGCATTCTAGGGGGGGACCCTACCACTACTCCACCATTGTCTGTGGACACCTGTAAGGGGGGGGAGTCTCAGGCAACATGCAGGAGGATTTTGTGGATGAGGAAGCGGAGGAGGAGGAGAATGTGCAGCAGGCAAGTGGTGAATCCATTCTCCCCGGTAGCCAGGACCTTTTCATCACCCTGGAGCCAATACCCTCCTAAGGTGGGATCCTCGACCCTGAAGGTGGAGAAGGCACCTCTGATGAGTGCACATTTGTAACTACAGTACAGGGTTTAAAAGCAATAGTGTTTAATGTTTGATTTGCCCTGAAGACTTGGGATGCATCCGCGGCCAGTACAGCTACTGGAAAAGTCTGTTAATGTGTTTGGGGGTGGAGCAGGAATCCTCCAGGGACATCTCCATGAAGCTCTCCTGGAGGTACTCTGAAAGCCTTTGCAGAAGGTTTCTGGGGAGGGTTGCCTTATTTTATCCTCCACGGAAGGACACTTTACCATGCCAAGCCAGTAGCAAGTAGTCTGGAATCATTGCAGCACACAGCATAGCAGTGAATGGTCCTGGGTTTTGGTCGCATTCAAGCAACAATTCGTCTATAGCTTTCTGTGTTAGCCTCAGGAGAGTGATATCATTCTTGGTCACCTGGTTGAAGTAGTTGAACTGCTCCTTACTACTGTCCAGGCTGCCTGTGTATGGCTTCATGATCCATGGGAGCAAGGGGTAGGCTGGGTCTCCAAGGATAACTATTGACATTTCAACATCCCCAACAGTAATTTTCTGGTCTGGGAAGTAAGTCTCTTCTTGCAGCTGCTCAAACAGCCCGGAGTTCCTAAAGATGTGAGCGTCATGCACCTTTCCCGCCATCCCAAGTTGATGTTGGTGAAATGTCCCTTGTGATCCACCAGTGCTTGCAGCACCATTGAGAAGTACCCCTTGCAGTTTATGTACTGGTTGGCAAGGTGGTCTGGTACCAAGATAGAGATATGAGTTCCGTCTATCGCCCCACCACAGTTAGGGAAACCCATTGCAGCGAAGCCATCCACTATGACCTGCATATTTCCCAGAGTCACTACCCTTGATAACAGAATGTCAGTGATTGCATTGGCTACTTGAATCACAGCAGTCCCCACAATAGATTTGCCAACTCCAAATTGATTCCCGACTGACCGGTAGCAGTCAGGCATTGCAAGCTTCCACAGGGCTATCGCCACTCGCTTCTCAACTGTCAGAGCAGCTCTCATCTGTTGAATAGTGGGGAATGATCATGTCCCTAGATCTGCTGGCAATGCCCCTACTTATACAGCCCAAAATGCTGTTAGCCTTCTTGGCAACAAGGGCACACTGTCAACTCATATCCAGCTTCTCGTCCACAGTAACCCCTAGGTCTTTTTCTGCAGAACTACTGCCTAGCCGTTGGGTCCCTAATCTGTAGCAGTGCATGGGATTCTTCCATCCTAAGTGCAGGACTCTGCACTTGTCCTTGTTGAACCTCATCAGGTTTCCTTTGGCCCAATCCTCTAATTTGTCTAGGTACCTCTGTATCCTATCCGTACCCTCCAGCATATCTACCACTCCTCCCAGTTTAGTATCATCTGCAAACTTGCTCAGAGTGCAGTCCACGCCATCCTCCAGATCATTAATGAAGATATTGAAGAAAATCGGCCCCAGGACCGACCCTTGGGGCACTCCGCTTGATACCGGCGGCGAACTAGACATGGAGCCATTGGTCACTACCCAATGAGCCTGACGATCTAGCCAGATTTCTATCCACCTTATAGTTCATTCATCCAGCCTATACTTCTTTAACTTGCTGGCGAGAATACTGTGGGAGACCATATCAAAAGCTTTGTTAAAGTCAAGGAGTAACACATCCACTGCTTTCCCCTCATCCACAGACCCAGTTATCTCATCATAGAAGGTAAATTAGGTTAGTCAGGCATGACTTGCCCTTGGTGAATCAATGTTGACTGTTCCTGCTCACTTTCCTGTCCCCTAAGTGCTTCAGAATTGATTCCTTGAGGACCTGCTCCATGATTTTTCCAGGAACTGAGGTGAGGCTCATTGGCCTATAGTTCCCCGGATCCTCCTTCTTCCCTTTTTTAAAGATGGGCACTACATTGGCCTTTTTCCAGTCACCCGGGACCTCCCCCGATCGCCATGAGTTTTCAAAGATAATGGCCAATGGCTCTGCAATCACATCCACCAACTCCTTTAGCACCGTCGGATGTAGCGCATCCAGTCTCATGGATTTGTGCTCATCCAGCTTTTCTAAATAGTCCCAAACCACTTCTTTCTCCACAGAGGGCTGGTCACCTCCTCCCCATGCTGTGTTGCCCAGTGCAGCAGTCTGGGAGCTGACCTTGTTCATGAAGACAGAGGGGGAAAAAAGCATTTAGTACATTAGCTTTTTCCACATCCTCTGCCACTGGGTTGCCTCCCTCATTCAGTAAGGGGTCCACACTTTCCTTGACTTTCTTCTTCTTGCTAACATACCTGAAGAAACCCTTCTTGTTACTCTTAGGGCTGGTCCACACTACCCGCTTAATTCGGCGGGTAGAGATCGATCTTCTGGGATCGATTTATCGCGTCTCATCTGGACGCGATAGATCGATCCCAGAAGCGCTCCCCCGTCGACTGCGGAACTCCTGCTCGTCGAGAGGAGGAAGCGCTGTCGACGGGGGAGCCTGCCTGCGCCGCGTGGACCCGAAGTAAGTACTTTTACTTCGATATAGGAAACGTCGACTTCAGCTACGCTATTCTCGTAGCTGAAGTTGCGTTTCCTATATCGATCCCCCGCCCCAGTGTGGACCAGCCCTTAATATCTCTTGCTAGCTGCAACTCCAAGTGTGATTTGGCCTCCCTGATTTCACTCCTACATGCCTGAGCAATATTTTTATACTTCTCCCTGGTCATTTGTCCAATCTTCCACTTCTTGTATGTAAGCAGAGTCAGGATGAGCTCTACCCTGACATCTGGTGGTGAATTATGGCGAGTGTGGAAAAGAACTCCAGGGGCTGATCTTGTTTTCATAGGCACACCCACCCACCTGGCATGAGACAACAGCAACTGATAGTGGTTACTTTGGATGGGGTGGGATCCCCAGTTTCTCTGTTATTGGGGCAGGAGAAATAAAGTGTTGTTACCCTGATTATGTGAATCAAGGACAATGAAACTGTTTTATGACAGAGGATCTCACCATCACCTAAGTAGCACTCGCTAGACAAGGGACAACCCAGTGAATTGAGAGAGGATGGGGACAAGTATTTATACCTGATGGTATGGGCACCCTTTGAGGGCCTGAAACACCAATTGCACCATTTCCTCCCTCCACTATTAAATGTCAGAGCTAACTTTAATTCTATTAGGAGTCTAGTTTCAGACTGCTGAGCTGAATTCACTTTGGGCCAATGGTGCACCAGCACTGGGGCTCCCCTACTACAAGCTGTAATCACAAAAGAGCTGAGATCACTGAGTGCTTTGTTAACTAGTGGGGGAGCCTGAAGCTATACTGCTAAGCGGCTGGTGGAGCAGTTTGCGGGGATGGCTAGAGGAGCAGTGTGTGGCGTGGGGACACTTGGAGTGGCCCAAAGAACGGTGAGCAGAGCCGTTTGGGGGGATGGCTGGAGTGGCTCAACAGGTCAGTGAGCGGAGCCATTTGTGGGGACGGCTGGAGCGGCTCGTAGAGCAGAGTAGTTTGTGGGACGGCAGGAAGTGGACTGGCTCGTGGTGAAGTCTGCGGCGGAACCCCACGGAGAGATGGCCGGTTGGCCTCGGATCATGTAAGGTGCCCCTTAACACCCTGCGTGCCCCCCTTTTATTCTGGGGCTGCACTGACCACGGACAGAGACTTTGGGGGGTTGTTGGACTTTTGGGACTTTGGGTGGTTGCTGGACGCAAGAGACTTTGGGGGTGTTGGACTTTGGGGACTCTGGGTGATTTTGGGGTTGCTGGATTCAAGAACCAAAGGGAAAGGACACGGCCCAATTTGCTGGGGTGGGTCTTTTGCTCATGGTTTGTGTTAGGAATCCTGCTTGTGGTGTTTTGTTTTTTTTTCCAATTTAATGCTGATGTCAGTTTCCTCATGTTATTAAACATTTTCTGCTACACTCAGACTCCGTGCTTGCGAGAGGGGAAGTATTGCCTCTTAGAGGCGCCCAGGGGGTGGTCACTGGGTGGGGGCTCAAGCCAGTTTTGCATTGCATTATTGAAACGGAACCCCTAGATACAGAACCTGGCCCTTGTTGCTGCCAACTTAGATGGGCAGAAGGGTTACATGTAAGCTTCTTTTTTGTGTTTAAGATCAGCAAGTATTTCACTGTTAAGCCAAGCTGGTCGCCTGCCATATTTACTATTCTTTCTACACATTGGGATGGTTTGTTCCTGCAACCTCAATAAGGATTCTTTAAAATACAGATTTAAAATATTCCTTTAAAATAAAAAGAAGAAGACTCCCCGCACTGACAAGAAGCCACTTCTGGGGTAGGACAGGGCAGCTGAGAATCAGGACAGGGAAATATGTAGGCTGTGTAGGACAGGAAGTGAGGAAGAATTCCATCTCCTGTGTCCAGCCTTTGGGGAAGTTACAACTTTAAGGCTCAATTCCTGAGATGCAAATCCGCCGGAACACAGTTATTCGGAAACAGACTCTTGAGAAAATGGCCCTGGATTTTTAGCTAGAGTGAGTGGATGCAGGCTCCGTTGACACTAAATCCATCCAGTGGAAGCTACAGTTACCCAGCCCCCCATCATGCTGCAGAGGGGTCTGGCCCAGGGATAACTAGACGCCAACTGGCAGAGGGCACAGGGATGTCAGGAGTTATACTGGGATCTCCTGGGTGAGATATATGCACAATAGCTCACCAAAGGTGTCATGTGAGGTCTCTACCAAGAGCGAGCAGCCCACTGGTAGACCTAACGGGGGCAAGATGTTTGTATGGGACATAGTTGAAGAGAGACGTAAAATGTAGAATATGACAGGTTTCAGAGTAGCAGCCGTGTTAGTCTGTATCCGCAAAAAGAACAGGAGTACTTGTGGCACCTTAGAGACTAACAAATTTATTAGAGCATAAGCTTCAGCCATACCATCAGGGGCTCGTTCACCTGCACATCTACCAATGTGATATATGCCATCATGTGCCAGCAATGCCCCTCTGCCATGTACATTGGCCAAACCGGACAGTCTCTACGCAAAAGAATTAATGGACACAAATCTGACATCAGGAATCATAATACTCAAAAACCAGTGGGAGAACACTTTAACCTGTCTGGCCATTCTATGACAGACCTGCGGGTGGCTATCTTAAAACAGAAAAACTTCAAAAACAGACTCCAACGAGAGACTGCTGAGCTGGAATTGATATGCAAACTAGACACAATTAACTCAGGGCTAAATAGGGATTGGGAATGGCTGAGCCATTACAAACATTGAATCTATCTCCCCTTGTAAGTATTCTCACACTTGCTTCTTATCAAACTGTCTGTACTTGGTTACCTTGATTATCACTTCAAAAGTTTTTTTTCTCTTACTTAATTGGCCTCTCAGAGTTGGTAAGACAACTCCCACCTGTTCATGCTCTCTGTATGTGTGTATATATATCTCCTCGATATGTTTCACTCAATATGCATCCGAAGAAGTGGGTTGTAGCCCACGAAAGCTTATGCTCTAATAAATTTGTTAGTCTCTAAGGTGCCACAAGTACTCCTGTTCTTTTTGTAGAATATGAGGCTCCAGAAGTGCTGAAGTGAAGCTTGTCACCTGTGCCATGGCAATCCCTTCGGCTGAGCCAATCAGCACATAAAACAAAGCACAGCCATGGAGACAGGCTATATTCACTGTCTGGGCCCAGTGCGGGCTTGAGAATTTGCAAAGACAAAGGACCCTCAACACAAGTCTCTGAAGAGAGACCTCCTCTGGGAAGAGACAATGGTCTGTCCCTACAAAGAAAGATGAGAGGGAACAAGAGCTCCCAGGAGGCGGCTGACGGTGTTTCTCTCAGGAACAGGAGATCACAGCCAAGCCTGGAGTAAAACCCTGGAAGGACTGTGGGGTGAGCGTTGCTCTGCCAGACAGAAAAGTATCTCGTTCAATGCCTCTAGGCTCTAGTCAGCATGGTATGATTTTATCGGCCATGGAATCATTTCTTTCCAACCCTTCTCCTTGGTACCCCTCGAATCTCTACACTCTGTGAAATCACTTGTCCTTGTTGTCACTATGAAGGTATGTAGAGCTGTGCGTTGATCGGGGCAGAGATGGGAGGTGGAGCTAGTCAGCTGGGGGCCCTGTTCCTTTGGGAGCAGCAGATCTGTGAATGCTGTGAATGCCCAGCGGGACAGGGGCTGGGTGCTGCTGGGGGCTGGAGTTTGCCGATCTTCAACCTGGAGAGAGACCACCCCACAAGGCCTAGAGGACACAGCTTGTGTGGCCTGTGTCTGAGGGAGTTGGGGACCTGCCCCCCAGCAGGCACAGACAAGGCTTCCTCATGCCAGGGGCCCTTGGCACCGCATTGAGACCACACCCCACTCCCTACAGCACAGGCCCATAGAACCGCATAAGGGTATTAGAGTCAGCACCAACTGTGAGAGGAGAGCGCCCCTTAGTGAAACCGCCATATTGCTCCCTGAAGCTCAGGCCCCAAATCACCATGGTGGGGTCAGCACTGGCTGTGAGGGGACAATGCCCCGTAATGAGCTTCCCACCCTGCACCCTGCAACACGCATGGTAGTGGAAGAAATTTACCTGAGCACAAAACACTGGCATCTTTTCCGTGGTGACAGTTATTGTCTCCCCAAGGCCGAGCCCCGCAATCAGAGAGGGCATCTTCTGTCCCTGTGCAATGAACATCATCCAGCCAGATAGGGTCTGATCCTCGCCCAAATCGAGCACCTCCTGGGGCTGATAATGCCGTGCCACAGCTCAGCTGCCTGCATACGACTCCAGCATTAGTTATGTCCCAGCTGTCATCACACACGGTTCCCCACTGCTGGTTGTGAAGCACCTCGACTCTCCCAGCGCAGAGACTCGGGCCATTCATCAGTCGGAGCTGAGCCACTTCTGAGATGCCGGAAGCTGCAAAGCCGAAAGGGAATAAACACTCAGGGAGGTTCCTGTGCATCTGATCACTACTGATGCTGGGGAATGAAGTCCCTCCGAATGACAGGCCTGAATAACCTCTGCAACTGCCCATTAGGGGTTCACTCCCCACTAGGGCTGTCAATTAATCACAGTTAACTCGGTCTCAGAGCAGCTGATCAATCTGGAGCCCGATGGCACCTTAAAGACTAACAGATTTATTTGGGCATAAATTTGATACTTGATACCCCTCATACTTGATCCATCTGGGTGCGGGGTCACAAGCCCCCCATCCCCACCCCCGAGCTGCTGCTTGTCTTATGCCTAGCATGTTCATTCGCCCCACCCGCCCCCCACACACTATCGGCAGTTACGGGTTGTCTCTGGTGCTGGGCCTGTGTTTCTCCAGCAGTGAGGAGGTAAGTGAGCGTCAACACCAGAAACAGAAAGGCTAGAGGACGTTTGAGGAAAATGTCATTCTCAGAAAGTGCGGAATACCTGAAACATTTTATTTCAAACTAGGGCTGTCGATTAATCACAGTTAACTCACGCAATCAACACAAAAAAGTGAATCACAATTTAAAAAATTAATTGCAGTTTTAATTTGTAGTGGGGCGGCTGCCCCACTCCATGAGGAAAAGGGCTGGGACAGGCCAGAGAGGCTGCGCAGACCAGCAACCAATCAGCGAAGGCCTGTGGAGAGCCAATCAGGTCCAAGGAAGAGGCAGCCAATCAGGGCCGGGCTGGGTCCTATACAAAGGCTGCCTAGCAAAGGAGCACCCTGACTAGCAAGGGAGAAGGACTGGCCCCTGAGGAAAGGAGGTAGCACCTTAGACAGAGCAGTGCTGGACAGGCTCCAGGAAGCAGAGGAGAGCTCCAACCTAGTTACCTGCCAGGCAGCCCCTGCTAAAAAGGGTCAACAAGGTGCACAGGGCCAAAGGGGAAGTGGCCCAGGGAAGATAGGAGGACAAGAGGGGACAGAAGGAGGGCAGAGAGAGGCTGCCACTAGAGGGTCCCTGGGTCAGGACCCAGAGTAGCGGGTCGGCCTGGGTCCCCCCCTTACCCCCTTGCTCTGCACCTGGCCACGAAGGGGCTAGACTTTGGGGTTGTGGTTGGCCACTGAAGCAGGTGCAAGCCGGGAGTGGGTGAGGGTGGAGTAGTGGGCACTGCCAGAGGGCACTGTCCTGGAGCAGACACTGCCGACTGGAGAGCAACGCGGTTCCCAAACCAGCAGAGCAGACAACGGACGAGACACCACACGCAGAGGGTGCTCGGTAGCTGACAAGAGCAACCAGCAGGAGGTGCCAGCCGTGATGAGTCCTGAACCCGTCACATAATCGCACTGTTAAACAATAGAATTCCAATTGAAATTTATTAAATATTTTGGATGTTTTTCTATGTTTTCAAGCATATTGATTTCAATTACAACACAGAATACAAAGTGTACTGTGCTCACTTGTTATTATTATTTTGGATTACAAATATCTGCATTGTAAACATGGTAAAAGAAATAGTATTTTTCAATTCACCTCATAAAAGTACTGTAGTGCAATCTTTCTTGTGTAAGTGCAAAATACAAATGTAGATTTTTGTTGTTGTTGCATAACTGCACTTAACAATGTAAAACTTAGAGCCTACATGTCCACTCACTCCTACTTCTTGTTCAGCCAATCGCTAAGACAAACAACTTTGTTTACATATATGGGAGATAATGCTGCCTGCTTCTTATTTACAATGTCACCAGAAAGTTAGAACAGGCATTGGCTTGGCACTTTTGCAGCTGGCATTGTAAGTTATTTACGTGCTGGATATGCTAACCATTCATATGCCCCTTCATCCTTCGGCCACCATGGTGATAACGCTCGTTAAATAAACAATGTATTAATTTAATTTGTGACTGAAATCCTTGGGGGAGAATTGTGTATCACCTGTTATGTATTGTGTATTGTAATTGAATTCAATATATTTGAAAATGGAGAAAACATCCCCCCAAAATTAAAATAAATGGTATTCTATTATTGTGCAAAGGTGTGATTAACTGCACGATTAATCACAATACATTTTTTTTGTCACTTAACAGCCCTACTCCCCACCACTGCCATGCAGCCACTTCTGGGGTGGAACAGGGCAGCTGAGACATCAGGCACAGAAACTCATGGGCTGTGTAGGAGAGGAAGTGGGGAAGAATCCAGTCTCTAGTAATAGCAGTGGGGGATATTTACAGGTTCAGAGGTAATTAGCTGAGATGGAAATCACCCGGAGTGGCAAGGGTAGGAAACCCACATAAAGGGACCTCTGAGAGTCTGCAGGCTACATTTGACCCCAAATCCCACAAATGGGATCTATGGTTACCCAGCGCCCCATTGTGCTGTAGTGGGACGGGGGATCAGAGCGATCAGCAATGGGGAGGATCTCTCACTGAGGCACACATACTGCTCCCTGCAGCGCAGGCCCTAAGTGCTGTGCTGGGGCACTGGGGACAGCACTGACTTCGAGGACAGAGAGCCCCCTACTGAGCCCCCATCCTGCTCCCTGCAGCATAGGCCTGTAGAACTGTGTGGGGACAATGGGGTCAGCACTGACACCATGGGAAGAGCGACACGTACTGTGACCCTGAACCAGCTCCCTGCAGTACAGGCCCTTAGCACCATGCTGGGGCACTGGGGTCAGCGCTGACTCAGACAGGAGAGCTGGGTCTGTGCTGAAAGCTTCCCAGCCCGATCCCTGCACCACCCACAGTGACGTGATGGAGGAGGGTTACCTGAGCACTCGACACCAGCATCTTCTCCGTGGGTACAGTTATTGTCTCCCCAAGGCCGAACCCTGCAATCGGAGAGGGCAACTTCTGTCCCTGTGCAGTTGACATTATTCAGCCAAATACGGAAAGATCCTTGCCCAAAATGAGCCCCAACTGGGGCTGATAATGCCGTCCCACAGCCCAGCTGCCTGCACACGACGCCAGCATCCTGTAAGTCCCAGCTGGCATCACACACGGTTCCCCACTGCTGGTTGTGAAACACCTCGACTCTCCCAGCGCAGCGACTCGAACCGTTCACCAGTCGGAGCGGAGCCACTTCTGAGATGCCAGCGTCTGCAAACACCCAAGGGAATAAACAGGCAGGGAGGTTCCTGGGCGTCTGATCTCTCCTGTCACTGGGGAAAGTAGCGCCTCCCGCCGACAGAGCTGACCGGTCTCTGCACACAGCCACTGTCTGTCAAGGCCTCCCCACCACTGACCAGGCTAATCACTTGGGCAATGTTGAAGTTTGTCCACTCCCCTCCCAGCCAGCTGTCACCTAGTTAGGCAGACTGGCCGGCAGTCTGACCTACTGCTCCCACTAGAGCACTTAATGAAAAAGATCACCCCCCGCACTGCTGGCAGGAACCTCCTGGGGAGCAGATTTACACCCTCACTCCTGGCGCTGATATTCGCTCTAGTGCGATACTGTGCAGTGCTGCGGGGCAGACGCTGGCATAAGCATCTTGGTGATTGGGAGCTGAACACAGTCACCCGTGTCATTAGTGGTTGCCTTAGTCTGACATCCGCATCCAATTTACATGTGTTGGCTCAATAGCTCCATAAAAATTTCACCCAGAGTCCATCCCCCTTAAAACTGCCTGGAGCGCAGGGACGATTGGCAGGAACCTGCTGCGCACCAGGCTGACAATGGTTCCGACCAGTGCAGAGGCAATGCACACTTCCTACAAGCAGATCGGCCCCCTCCTGAAGCAAACACCTGCCCCTGCGGTTCCTGGTGACTTGCCGTGACTGACTTGGCAACATCGTTTTGTGTCAGCCATTGCTGCACTCATGTCTAGTGCTCCCAGCCCAGTACCAATCTCAGATGAATGATGGCAGAGATTTGGCTTAGCCCAATTTTCTCACTGTGCCTGTGGGGCAGCAATACAGACAGTCATACTTGGTGGAGGAGAGCCACTTCCCAATGTACCCTGGGATAGGTGTTTTGCTCATGGTTTTACCTGTTTCCGGCATTAGTCATTAGGGCCAGCACAACTACAAATGGAGAGAGCCCCTGAGGCGGGGCAGTTACCCTGCTCTGGCCCTGAAAGGGTTAAAAGCCAGTGCTTGGGGAGGGCTGGGGCTGAGAGCCAATAAGTATAGGCTGATTGGGAAGGCTGGGGCCATGCCCAATTAGGAGACAGCTGGCCCTATAAAGGACTGGTAGCTCAGGGAACAGAACAGAACAGAACAGAGCTGGGGAAAGGCAAGAGGAGCTGGGGAGCTCCAGCCTGGCAAATCGCCAGGCTGCAGGCCTAGTTAAAGGCCAAAACAGGTACTGGGGTTGCAGAGGCTGCAGCCCGGGGTTAGGCAGAGGCAGCTGGTCCAACCCCCTTGGCAATGATGACACTGCGGTTTGCCCCAGTGAGCAGGGGCTAGATGATGACTGGCAGTAGCCACTGAGGCAAGGTGGGTATAAAGGGTGCGGCTTCCCACAGGAGGGGAGACCCAGTGTGTGGGGGTACTGCAGTGGGCAGAACCCCAGGGTATGGGGCACCAGGGTCCGGTAGGGACACGGAGGCCTGAGGCAAGCGAGATATCGGCCAGCAGAGGGCGTTCTGGAGGATGAAGAACTGATTCCCAAGATGACCAGCAGGAGGCACCATGCCGGGGAGTCTAGCTTCAATACAGCCCCCTACTGCCACCCCCTACCTGCAGCACAGGCCCCCTAGCAATGCACTAGGGCACTGAGGCCAGCACTGACTTACTGGGGATAGCATGAGTGTTCCGTAATGAGCCCCCACACCACTCCCTGCACAGGCCCATAGAACCGCACAGGGGAATTAGGGTCAGCACAGACTGAGAGGAGAGCGCTCCCTACTGGAACCACCATATTGCACCCTGAAACACAGCCCCCAAGCACCATGCTGGGGTCAGCACTGGCTGTGAGAGGACAATGCCCCGTAATGATCTTCCCATCCTCCTCCAAGCAACATGCAGGGTGGCAGATGAAGGTTACCTGAGCACACAACACCGG